AACCTGGGGGGTTCTCAGACTGTTAGGATTGTCAGGTGTGTAGACGATCCAATCTCGTTGCAAAACGAGGTCCAATCCCCATACGGCGTTGTTTCTGAGTTAGGTTCCTTCTTGTCTTGAAGTCATCAGGTAGAACATCTTCTTCTCCAACTCTTCTATTGTTCATGAGGTCGATTTGACCTCATGCTCGTTTAGGTCAAACTCTGACTGCAGCTTGATCCGCCCATTTATCCGGTCTAGATGTCTGGTTTCACTGACCCAATTGACCTGGTATAGTATACCATATCAATGACATTTAATAATATAAGAGATTATGACTGCCTAACTGTCAGTCTAATCATTGTATTTGTGTATATATAGATATAACACCCAAAATAGCTTCGTGGACCAGTTTGAGTGGTTTGCTTGGTAAAGCCGATCCATGGGAGCTTAAGCTGAGTATCAACATTTCACTAAGTTAGGGAGCTCGCTTAGGCAACTCGGGGTACAGGTCGACCTGACAAGAAGACCTGAAGGTCGGGCACCTCCAGGAGCTCAGATAGATGAGTCGTGACGATAAGAAGTCGTGGTTACGACCTGATTATAGCTTATGGCGAGCTGGTTGCGAGGTTGTTCAAACAACCTAAGGATCTAAGTGTTGTATGGTAAGAGGGTACAAAATCCTTTAAGGATGGAAAGTGTATCTCGTAAGGAATCTCCCATCCTAGAGACGTGATAAGCTTGGAAAGTATATACGGTTGGATCTTTTTTCTAGCCAGGACTCTACTTGGACATCAAGACCCTAGAATATAAAGGGTATCAATTTCTATTTTATAATTAACGCATTTTTACGCACTTAGCATACACTTTTCACGTTTGCTCTCACGAGCAAGTACTAACTTGAGCGTCGGAGGTTTTTCCATCGTGATCCCTCCCCAGCGTATTGCAGGTCACCAGAGCTTGAGATAAAAGGTCGTTCGGGGTGAATGCAATTAACCCGGTTCAAGACAAGGATAATTTGCATATCAAATTGGTATCGTCTCTGGGAATCACCTAGTCTTTACCAGCTATAATGGACTAAGTTGGTCTTCCACAAGAAGTTTTTTCAGAAGTTCGGAGATCATGGTTGTGGATAGTGTTAGAGTAGAATACCCGATGTTCCAATCTAATTGGATCTTTTTCTACTTGTAAAGACAATTTATTGAAAATTATATTACATATTTTGAGGCATTGTTTATCTTATGTCTTTGCCTTTATTACATATTTGTACGAAAAAGTCCTTAGTTCATTATTATCTATGAGGCATGGTTGCGCATTTGATGGCATTCATGGGCGTCTTTAAAGCTATGGTCTTAAATAATTCTAAGTCTAACAGACATAATAATTATAACATGTACATGACAAATCTGAATCCCCACATTCGCCTGAGGGCCTGGTCTGCACACCCCGAAGGGTGGACTATCTGCACACCCCGAAGGGCGGGCTATCTGCACACCCCGAAGGGCGGGCTATCTGCATACCCTAAAGGGCGGTCTCGTCTCATCTCATATCTGTTGCACTCCGTGAAGGACGGTATCATACCCAAAGAGTGTAACCTTCAGGAATACCTTGTCGCCCACATCGAAATGAATGTCCTTCCTCCACTGATCGGCATAAGACTTCTATCGGTCCTGGACTGTCTTAATCCTCGCATGGATCTCAGCAACCTTCTCCATTGTCTGCGCAATCAACTCCGGACCTAGGATCTTCCTCTCACTAACTTCGCCCCAATACAACGGTGATCTACACTTGCGCCCGTACAAAGCATCGTAATTCATTAAGTAAAATGTCATATTTATAGTAGATAAAATATTATCTTATAGATTACGAGTAGTTGAGCCCTCGAGAAGAGCACTGAGCATTCGTCATTTATTTTGCAAGTAAGGTGGGGATTTTGTATAACATTTATTCACTATAATCGCAAGGTATTATAATCGTGGTATGTTATGTGAGCAGTCCGCCCTACGGGGTGTGCAGATGAGATAGTCCTCCCGTCGGGGTATGCAGATGAGATAGTCCTCCTAGCGGAGTGTGCAGATATGAGATAGTCCTTCCATCGGGGTGTGCAGATGAGATACTCCTCCCAACGGGGTGTGCAATTATGAGACCATCACTTTATTCATGTACATGCTATTGTTGTAATATCTATTATTATATTGAATAACAGCGCAGTATATCTCCCCACTGAGCTTGCGTCTGCTCACCCTTCTTTTACCCCTTTTTCAGGTTGATCGAGTTGGTGACGGGACACGGAATGGTGGAGTGGTCATGTTTTGAGCAGTTGATCTTTTATGTTATATGAGATATTTGATTTAGTAGATTTTATTAGACTTGATTATTTATCATGGTATTTCAGTATATTTGAC